TTCAGGCATTTCCTGAACCCTCATCCAATATTTTAACAATTGTTTTGTACCCTGTATTGTAAGAGGATACCTCCTTAATTCAATTAAACATGGCAAGTTTGAGGCTCTGCTGTTCACCTTTAATAAAAACTTGCAGAATTTGGTATGGAGTTTTTCCATGGGTGTTGTCAAATTCCAAAGCTGTTTTGTGTGGGCAATAATATCACTAGACCATATTTCAGTGCAGTATAAGAGAATTGGTCTAACTACTGCATCAAACATCTTCAAATGAATTCTGAGTGGTGTACAAGTTGCCGAAAATAATAGCTGATTCATTTTGAAGCAGGCCTTAAGAGCTTTGTTTTTTAGGTCTACCTGGGCTTTTTCTAATTTCCCTGTTGTATTTAAAGTTATGCCAAGGTAAGTGTATGACGTCACTCTTTCCAGTATGTATGCTTTGGTAAAAACCAGAACACTCAAAGGAATATGCGAAGCGGTGGCCACAATCATCATGATTGGTCGCAGATTGTTTCATCTAATCTTTCCTCTCCTAGCTTTGTTATTCTGATATTATATAACTAATCAGAAAAAGTTAAAACAAAGATAAGGAATTTGCATTCGCTTAGTACCTAATGCACAGAGGGACTGTGGTCTATAACGTACCCTTTGGGCAACACATCTATTTTCAAGTAGTTGGTTGTTAGGTGGCGCTGTCGCAACTTTCGCTACGCATGCGCGAAATTCCAGCTCGCCATTTTCGGCAGTGTGGATTTGTTTTGATTAGTACACACGAAGACTTGGACAAATTATAAATTTAAATACGCACGATGAAGGTAAGCACGGTTTTATGAAAGTGGGGTTACTATAGGGCAGTTGTTCACTTGACATCTTTCGAAACATGTTTCAAAACGGAATTTATGTCAATGCCGATCTCTGAATCGCGGTTCGTTATCGCCTATCAGTTTCATACTTGTAATCGAAATCTCAAAAAAATAAAAACAAACATACCACAAAAATAGAATAATGTACGAATTTTACGTTTTTGTGTTTACTGGAAATTCACCAATGCATTATATATACGTTGTTGTTGTACCAGTAGTCTAAAAACATACCATTTGAAGTGCGTGTTGAAACATTGTCAAACTACCGTCAATACCATGGAAACGAATGACTCTCCACGCCCGTATTTTCTTGGAAATATAATTTATATATTATTGCTCGACCCATCGTGTTTCTGACTGCTTCGATATCGTGTTGATCAACGGTTTTCTTTTTTTGTAATATTTATGCTACGTTGTTATGTACATATGTAGTATCTATAGAGTACATATATGAACACTAAACATTGGAAAAATTAACCAAATTTGTCGTTAATCAGTAATTTAAAATATATTTTACGCTTAATAAATTAACTAACACAATAAATTGTACTAAGTGTCTAGATATTTATGCTTGTGTCTTTTTTTATTTCCCTAACTTTTGCTGGTACCACCAATGGCAGGAAATTTAAATTATTTCTATCATGCAACTACCTGTATAACTAGGATTTTGTTAAATCATGTTATTCTGACATGCTATGTTTTTAGCTGTTTCTTCAAAAGCCAAAAAATAATAATAATGTCATTTTATTGGGGGTATGTGGTATATCCTGCAATTTGTTCAACTGTTTTTGTATTATTCATGTGAAGTGTTAATCCATATTCTATGATAGGACATGGAAGATATGTAAATAGCCTATTTAAAAATGGTGCACTTTCAGTCTATCAGTAGTGCTATTTTTATTTTGTTTGTTGTTTCACAAATTAGCAAAGTGAGGCAAGGCAGCTCATTCGCGATAAAACATCTTCAGAAATATTGTTCAGTGATAAAGTAATCATTTTCTGACAACAGACCGAAAATAGTTTATTTCTGAATCTTTCAAGTCATTTTGAGAATCTCTGACGCCAGAGGCATGCATTGTGCCATCTTTATAATCTCACTCAATCACACCTAAACTAACAACATTTGCAGTTCATTCTGTGGTTATGTCATTGCTATTTTTGGTGAATCAATAAACTGCGCTCACTCACCAGGCATTGCCTACTGCATATTATATCTTAGCACACTGATCAACACATCTGGTAACGTTAGTATAGTAAATGATGGATGGAGCTATTCAAGATATGTTTTCTATGGTGCTTTAGCTAGTAAAATCCTGGGGATTGCAGAACCATGCTATATCACGCCACAGTTGTGTGGCACACCTATTAATTCTTTGTAATAAAACACAATTTTATATATTGCAGTAAAAACTAGGTAGTACTATGCTATTTGCTCTTTATAGATCATAAAAGATAAATTATTGTATCTTTCTTACAGAGAGTATTCCATTTGTCTGATAAGACTCATGGTCATGGTACAATACAGTTTTGTTGGCAGAAAACACTAGGTAACTACTTGGCTACCACTGGTAGTAATCATATTGCCAACATCTATGATAGACATGGAGAACTAAAAGATGAAATCAATTTACCAGGGTGAGTACCTTTTACATTACTTCGATATACCTGATATTTAAAACTTACTGAACTGAATTGAGTAGCATCATACTAGTACTTCCGTCTCAAATATCTTAAACAAGCATTAAATAATTAAGATTAAACCATTGCCCAGCTTGTCATACCCTACTGGGTCATAGTTTATTGCTATTACTGTAGGTATTCTAATTTAGGCATCGCTCTACATCTCAGAGAGTGAAAGGCATTGATTTGATTCTAAAATAGGTTTCACGAACAGTTGAAAATTTCATAGTCCAGCGTAAAACATTTACCTAACATTATTCATATACTATAATATCCATATTTTGTTTTCTTAGTATTTGACTATCTAACATCTTGAATGGTACCGTACTGGTTTATTTAATATAAGTTTCCTGTTCATTGTTTGAGCCTGAACTTATAAACATTCCATATAGCCATGGTAAATCAAGAATATGTACACACTTAGCTTTAGTCACAATGGGCCCTTAATCATGACAAAGTATTCAACATGTTGATAGACTGGTATAATACAATATTAAATACTGTGGAATACTTTATTTTCGCTGGAATTAATTTTCGCTGAAAAGGCTTTTTGGGCGTTTTGCTTGGAACTTATTTTCACTGATTTTTCATGATTTTAATGTGAAATATAGGAAAAAAAGTATATTCGCTGGATTTTATTTTCACGGAATCATCCCTTCAGCGAAAATAGCGAAAATAAATTCCAAGCGGAAATAAAGTATTCTACAGTAATAATATCTTTCTTGATACAGAAACTCAACTGGTATGGGCTGGGACCGTGATGGTGATACCCTGGCAATTACCAATGATAAGAACAGTGTGATTATATTATGGGATGCTAACACACATAAAACTTCCCATTTAGACAGTGGCATGAAAGACACACTGTCATACTTATTATGGTCCAAGGTTGGACGTCAGTTAGCAGTTGGTACAACCAAAGGCAATCTACTTATTTATAATCATCAAACTTCAAGGTGAGTGTGATTTATGAAAGGAATGATGTACATGTACTGGGTAGAATATCGTCATTCAAAACCTGAGTTAATGCAACACCAGATGGTTACCACTGTAAAATATTTCTACTATACTATGTATTTTATGTGTGAGACAAAAGTAAAAGACCCTTATTTGGTTCTAAAACTGGCATCTCACACAGATGATGTTTTACAGTCATAAAAAAATCATTATCAGTATTTCCATGTGATAAAATGAAATTCTCAGTGATTTTTAATATATTATGCATTAGTGATTACAATTATTGAACAAGTTTCAAATGGAAATAACAGACTGGAAATAAATTGAGTGATATTGTTGAAATTTCAGGAAAGTTCCAATACTTGGCAAACATACTAAGAAGATAACTTGTGGAGCTTGGAGTTCTCAGAACTTACTGGCTTTAGGTAGTGAAGATAAAACTATTACTATCAGCAATGCAGATGGTGATACTATCAGACAGGTAATTCAATAATTTCTTTGTTTTTATTATATTTTATATATACCTTTATCCACAATATGACAACACCTTTCACTATACATTAATTAAATTTTACCTTTAAATAAATGTCATTGAATGATTGAGCTTAATTAATAACTTTGAATGATTGAGCTTAATTAATAACTTTGAGAACCTTTCCTTGGAAGTTAATCCCAGTGACCTGACTGTTGGCAAAAGATTCAACTAAGAGTATTCCAAACTAATTCTTTTAATTGCAAACCTTAGTTGCATGGATTATAATCAATTTTATATTACAAGTGGCCATCAGATTAAAGAAAACCACAGTCATCATTTCCATGGAACTCTTTCTTTTATTTGTTCTTTGTCATTTATTTGATATAAAAATTCACTCAGCATAATATCAAGTTCTGCATTTTTACTATCGCATTTAATGTATTATACCACAGAAGGGTCATTCATTCAGTATGCAAGTCTCATACTTTTTAATCTTTTTCTTATTGTCATTTTGATTGTATTAATTGATACTCATTCCTACTTTTGATAAGTCTGCAGACTGTCGTAATTACTCTATTATACATTTAGAAGCATATCTCGTATAAGACTACATGTAAAACCAATAGTTCTTTGTATTGTATACTAGATTATAAAAATATGACTTATTTTGACTGTAGATTTTCCTCTTCTATTTACATATGCGCTTAGCTACTAATAGTCCAAGAGTGAATACAGTACTGTTGTTTTACTATGTATTATTTTAATAGACATCTGTGAGAATGGAGCCATCTGAAATACAATTTTCTGAGATGAAAACAGATGAACGCAGTGCTGCAGGTGAAAACACTGTGAGTTGTAAAGTACAGTATGTTACAGCAGTGATGTAGAAACATCTATTAATTTAGTTGTCATTTCCAGCACACTTCTAGTAAGCAGAGACAATTATAGAATCATACACCATGTTTTAATTGTCTAAAATATATTTTGAAGACAATAATGTTTCAACATTATTATTCATGAACATTTTTCATCTGGAAAATTTAATGTTACAGTACGTTTATGGAAACTTTATGGAAATGAAATTCATATACTACCGTAAAATCTGTATTAGAAGCCGCATCCCTAAAAGAAGTCGCACCCATTCTTTTTGAACAATTGAAAACCAAAAATTCATCATTTCTCATATGTGTAGATGGTCTAATAGAAACTGCATCCATTCTGTTGCATTGTACCATTTTAATAGAAGCTGCGGCTTCTAGTACAGATTTTACACTAGTACCATTGTTTACTCTCAACACAAACATTACATATGTGCACCAGAGTGTAGAAATTAAATGCCATGAAATATGTTTGTACTACAGGTTAGTATATGTGTTGGAAAGAAGACTTTGTTCCTGTATAATTTGAATGATCCTGATAATCCAATAGAACTAGCGTTTCAACAACGATATGGACACATTATAGCCTATAAATGGTATGTATGTATGCACTGGACATGTGTAAGTCTATGTTTGAGTAGGCTTTGATTACATATTTCTGTAAATCAAACAATAGCTTAGTTCCATTGGTAATATGTTGAGACAGATGTTAGTGAGATACATCACTCAATTAATCATCAATTTCTATGAAGTAATGCTTATATAATTCATTCTATTAGAAGCTCATCCTCAATAGGAAAGCGTAATCAAAAATTACATTTAGTGATCATATACATACTTTTATCATTTATGTAAGTATGTACAAGTATACCACTATTTAAAGAATTAATTTTTACAAATATTTATTTTCATTATGTTTGATATTTTGAGCATATTCACTTGTTTGTAAATTCATAAACTTTACAATAATAACAAATAAGCAAAATTTGATCTGTGATTCAAACATTCTTTAAAAGTTGCTAAGCATGGTACTATAGCCTATGCATCATCTACATTTCTATTGCTATGTTTTGGTGCCTTTTATAATAGAACTCTAAAACTAATGACACATGGAATAACAAATATTTTATAATGGTTGCTGATCCAGATACATCTAAATCAAAATTCATGTTGTAATATTTACATCTAGGTATGGTGATGGTTATGTAATGATAGGATTCTCTCATGGATATTTTATTGTTATATCAACGCATATCAAAGAGATTGGACAGGAGTTGTTTCAAGCTAGAAATCACAAGGACAGTTTGACTTCAGTAGCTGTATCATTATCACTCAACAAAGCTGCGTCTTGCGGTGATAACTGGTAAGTGATGGGTGTATTATTTATTACCAGAGAATCACAGATATGATAGGACACTGTTTTGGTTAAGTATTAAAAAAAAGGTTATATTAAGATGATATTAAACGGATGAAACAGATTGGTACAATAAATCTGCAAATATTTTGGCCATAAAATGTTTTGACAGAAATGTTGCTTTTCTGATGACAATTCATGCACTGAGTATGGCATCTCATGTTTTTGTATGAATTCGACTTATTCTAAAAAAAATGTCAATGTCATTTTTTATTATAAAAATCGTTTTTTAAAAATAATTATTTAAAAGTTATTGAAATTTTAGAGTTTTTACGGTAACAGCAGTTGGCACTGCAATTCTTAAAATTTTTTGATCAAAATAAAACATGTTGTCAGCAAAGATTAGTATACTTGTTCTATCAACTGCATTCGTGTTTCTCAATTAACGATTTTCACCAATGTGGGCGGGTTCACGGCTTGTATATTACTATTTGGAACAAGCTCAAATTCTGCACATTCTCAATTATTTTTCTTTCTTTCTCACACTTTCTGGGTCAGTTGTTGCATGAATAATAAATAATCTGTTAATTTTTGGCATGATTGTTTTTGTTCACAGTATCAAGATACATGACTTGTCTGAAATGAAAGAGATGTATGCTATTATTACAATGGAGGATGAAACAAAAGGTCTTGGTAAGCTTGAATGGACTGATGATGGTCAGTTACTTGCAGTCAGCACACAGCGTGGATCTCTGCATACTTATCTCACTAAACTACCAGTTTTAGGAGATGCTTTTGGTACCAGAATTGCATATCTTACATCATTACTGGAAGTCACTGTGGTCAATCATGTTGAACAGGTAAAGCTTAGTAGCATGTTTGCTTTTCCTATTTGCCTGTACATGTGTGACATAGTTGGTTTGTTGTTTGGTGATGTTTAATGTACCGTTAGTTGTCTGTCCCACATATTATGTTTTATTTTTTTTTTTTACAGAATATTGTCATTTGTACAATGTACATCAATTGTACTTCTTAATAAGGTTCAACGTAAAAATATTTCTGTTATATGTTTTTCTAAAATTGATTCAATTACATTATAAGAGGGCATACTTTCACATATTAATATCAATAAAAAGGTTGCTTCTGTAATATTTGTTCATCCTCCATGTGAAACAATGTATTTTGTGGAAGTATAATCTTTATAGTGAAATCATGTTGCATTGGCTTACAAAATCAAATTTCAGAAGCCAGAAATAGATCATATCAAGGACATTAAGCTGGGAGCTGGTGGCAGTCATGCTAATAAATATTTTACTTTGTTTTTACTTATGTAAATGGCTGCTTTCATAATTTCCCATCTGCAAGTTTATTCATTTATTAAACTCCAGTGAGTTTTAGAAATTCTGTGTTGTATTGCATGTTTTATCAGTCTTGTGGTATAATGCATGCACTATGTTGTTATAGTCCAATGGATTTGGAGGGGTGGCATTAAAATAGTATTTGATATTTTTAAGTTTTCTTGTTGAAGAAAATAGTACTGTAAGAGCCTGATTGTAACAATAACACAGTATGGTTGGAGTACAATAATAAGTTATTGTACAGAAAAATGGCATATTGTATTGCATCAGGTGTATAATTACCTATTAAAAACCTAAGGTGAACAATAACCCTTAAAAATATAGAATAATGCACATTTAATTTAATCACAGTGTGTTTTTCTTGTTTGCATGCATTCCATTGTCTAGCGCCGGGTTGGGCGTATGAAGGCAAGTGCTCCCAATAATTCTCCTGTTGGTATTCCTGGTAAAACCAGCTTTAAAAATCCTACACATTTCTCCTATCTATCCCTTTGTTGGACGCAAAACTGAAGAAATGTAAACAAAATTAAATTTGATTCAATGTTGGTTCTCTGTATTCTGAGGGATGACTATCTGTAGTTACAGCAATGTAGAAATTAGCAAAACTGTTTTATTGTCTAACACTAGGCGGACAAGGAAACATAGAAACTATCTGTCACTGTTTATAGTCACTATTTAAATTAATAGATGTTTCTACATCACTGCTGTAACATACTGTACTTTTTAAAGGTTACATTGACTAGATATACATGTACTACATAATACTCTGCTTGGCTTTCTGCATGGCAAGGCTGCATAATAGAGTAAACTCTATTTATTTTGCTCACTTGCTTGTCACTGCTGTTTAATATTAATGCAGTGTAGTGGATAGGTTTGCATGTAATGGTAGTGATGTTAGAATCTGACAGAGTAGATAGAGAATGCAGTAGAGTATAATTTATTAGTTAAATTCTAATCAGTCGTGTTACTGTAATTGTCTATACTTTATCTCTTGATGTATTAAACTAAACCTGCCACAAAATGTTCTTTTCTATAGTAGTTCTCTGTACATGTGTTTTCTGGGTGAACAATGTACTATCACATATTGTATTCCTGTTCAGGAACAGCATGATTGTGTTTCTTCATTGATTGATGCAAAGATATGCTTTTCCTCCATTTATTGTATAGTTTATAACTTTTCTATCTATATTTAGGAGCAATCAGTTACCATTGGGATAGAAGTTGAACCAGCTTTTGTGGCGCTGGGTCCTTACCATCTGGCTGCTGGTATGAACAATAGAGCTTGGTTTTACCTGTTGGGAGACAAAGGTGATTTTCAATTATTCACATCTCTATTATATGAATATGTTATCTATGATATTTTTGTACAAAAACAAAAGTAAAATATAAATCAAATAGTAAAGCCCCCCTCCCCAAATGAAGCCAATTTAGGCACACTGATCCTGGTATTAACAGAAATGTTGTCCCATTCGAGTACTCCCTACTAATGTATTACCTTATATATTTTTCATCCTGTAGGACCTGAAGTGCTCAAGGATAAAGAGTATCTTGGTACCATTAATAGTATGTCACTGAATTCTGATTATGCTGCAGTGTTCTTTGAAAATAAAATACAGCTGCATTTGGTAAGGCATCACTGTTTTAATCATTCAAACAATTATTTCATAGAAAATCTTATTCATAGAATTAAACCAACTATACACTCATCAATCAATCAAGCAATATCTTTTTAGGGGGTGTGCAATGAACAATTGATGTTGCTGTACAATTGATGTTGCTGTACAATTGATGTTGCTGTACAATGCTGTACAATTGATGTTGCTGTACAATTGATGTTGCTGTACATCATTCACTTTGTAAAGTAATATCTTAAACCCTATTTGAACTGGAATGCTGAAAATTTACACATTAATTTGCTTGTCATTTTAGAAAAAACATATCTTCCTGTTAAATTACTTTTTCCTTGTGCATTGCTTTGTACGTATTATAATTATCTAGTGTGAAATCCTTTGCAGATTGAGGGTGAGGGTGGTGATGGTACAACTGCAGAGGAGCGCGAAACCAGGCTTTTTCCAGACTCTGATAAAGAGAGTAGAATTATGTGTTGTGCACTCACTGCTGATTTTCTTATATATGGAACAGATGTAAGGACACATTTATTTATTTAATTGTCTGTTTAATTTTACTATTTTTATTTACTAATGTAACTTGTTTGTTTATTTAATTATTTATTTATTTATATTAAAAAACAAATTCTGTTTCTCTCCAATAAAAATTTTAAATTGCACATTTCTTGCGTAGAATGGCGGGTTATACTACTTCTTCATTGAAGACTGGCAGTTTGTAAATGAATTTCGTCATGTAGTTGGACTACGTAAAGTCTATCCTGACCATACTGGTACACGGATGGTATTTGTTGATGATAAAAGTGATGGTTATGTCTACAATCCAGTAAGTTTTCAAATTATTTCATTTCATTTAATAATGTTTCTATTTCAACCGAATGGTATAACAAAAACAAACACTTTGATATTCACCAAGTTTGTTGAAAATCAAGATTTGAAATCCTTACCTTCTTATATGGTGTAAATTAAATGAGCTGACTAAGACCAGGGGAAAGAAATCTGTTTCTCAGGTCCTTGGGATTTTTTTGTTTTTTTTTGACATGGCATGGTGTATGCAACTAACACAAAACAAACATTGAAATGTGAAGCATTTTCATTGTGAATTACACTCAACCTATTGCCATTGACCAAGAAACTGACACTGTTGAAGGTGAAATGAAAAACTGAGATTTTTTTTTCTAGTCTAATTCTTAGGAATCAAGTTGTGGATTCTCACCCAACACTCTGTTCTCACCACTGGTCTGTGTACACTCAACTTAATGTAATTCCCATTTGTTACAGGTAAATGATGCAGTTTTAGAGATTCCTAACTTTTCACCAACTGTGAAGGGAATATTATGGGAGAATTGGCCGCTAGATAGAGGTATATTCATAGCATATGATGATGATAAAGTCTATACTTATGTGTATTGTAGAGAAACTGTTGGAGGTAAGTCTTCACTGACAACTGTTACGATACTAGCAAGAAAATATGATGCGCTTATCATCTATGGTGTGCATGCATGACAAGGGATGATCTTGCAATTCTTTCTAGAACTTGGATTACAACTATGGTGAAAAAGATTTGATGTTATGTTATTTGACACAATATCAATATCATAATTCTGATTGACATAATTGCAGGTCCCAAAGTAATGTTGGCAGGAACCACTAAACTACCCTTTGCCCAGTATCCAATTATGTTACATAATGGGGAAGTGACGTGTCAAACACAGAGTGGTAAAACTACAAGTTTAATGTTATCAACTCATAACTTCCATGAAAAACCATCAGAATTACCACAGTCAGAGGTGAGCAACATTTCATTCATTCTACATTACAAACAAATCTTATATTAATACGACTATTAAAATTGTTTATAAACTTTCTGCTCATGAGTGACTGGCTGGCTCCAACCCTTCACTTAATAGAAGTAATGGTACTTTTTTCACTGAATTAGATTGTGTCAATGCTTCAAAAACACTTACATGTATGACTTGTTTATTACCTTAGCTGAGGTCAGCACTGCAGCAGTGTCTTGTTTTGAAGAGATTCAAAGAAGCATGGGTGTTGTGTCATTTCTTAAACAGTAAAGAGAGTTGGCTAGACCTGGCAAAAGCCACAATACAACACATGGAAGTGGACTTTGGTAAGACTTTTTGTTATTTTTTCAGCCGCCATATATCAGTATTTACAGTACACCCCAAGCATAACTTAACTCCCAAACTGGCTCTTAGCTACATGGCTTTTTCTTTTCACAAACACTTAACAAAATGTAATATCACTGTCATCAATAATTTCAAAGTATTCTTTGTAGTATTGTATGTTACTAATATAAGACATATTCAGGCAGATTACGCTGCTCAACTTAGATATACAGTAGTGGAGGCAGGGTCTTTGGTTGAGGCTCTTTTTTGTTTTCATCTGAATCATCATGTTACTTGACTAAGTGTGGTTTTGCTGCATTTATAGCTTTCCTTTATCTGTATCTGTGAAAATAGTTTATATATATATATATATATAAATAGTTCAATTTATATTTGCCTTCAGCAATCCGGGTTTACAGACATATAGGTGAAGCTGGTATGGTCCTCTCGCTTCAGAAAATAAGGGTAACTATCACGTTTGAATATCGTATTTGAGAAGTGCATCTCCAATAGAAGTGCATATAAAGCAAAAATTATATACTGATTCATTAAAATATACTTTATAAAAACACATCTGTATAATGTACATAATAAGTACATGTGCATCTAATAGAGCAAATTTGTTCTGTCACCTGAATCTGCATGATTGGATTTGTTTTGTGGTATTTAAATAGCCATCATTTTTATTTTCAGGGTGTGGAAGATAACAATTTGTTAGCTGGATATTTAGCAATGTTCATGGAAGACTTTAATCTGGGACAGGATTTATTTCTTGCATCAAGTAATCCTATGGCTGCTCTTGAGGTATGTAACCTGTCTTGATACTCTTTCTGAAATTTTTTATTTGTGCAGGTGTTAGCTCATTTCAACTGTAAAATGTTGACTTTTTCGATTTATTCAATTTTTTGTTTCTCTAATGGAATATTACTTGATTTGTGTTTAGCTTTTGGTACTAAATTAAAATTACCAACTGAATGTTAACACACATGACAAAATGTAATTCAAAACAATAATATATTGGAAAACTAATCAAATCTAAAACTCTGGTTCTTATTTTAAACTTGAACCATGAACTATATATTTACTAACTCTTATGCATGACATTATAAGTCTTAACTTATTCAGTTATTGTTTTATTATTTTGGTTTCCAGATGAGGAGAGATTTATTACATTGGGACCAAGCTCTTCAGTTAGCCAAGGCATTGGCACCAGATCAAATACCATACATCTCAAAAGAATATGCACAACAATTGGAGTTTGTGTAAGTATAGATGAGTTCACCTTTGATATTTTTTTGGTCATTTTGGATCCTCCTCATGCTGTGTGTGCATGAAGGCAGTAAAAAGATCATATCGACATTGGTGTAGTGGAGGTCAATGCAATCCTGTACTGCCTTAGTGCATACTTTGTGGTATTCTCATGCTAACCGTATTATAATACATCCCGTCTCTGCTTGTTATAATTTAAAAATTGCCAACAGAAAATATTTTTGGCTGCAAAAGTTTGCATTCATTAATGGATTCTATTTCCATCACAAGCTACTTGTATAGTGTTTTTCAGTCCAATGTGAACAGAGAAAAGTGTTTGAATGTGAAATCATTAACCTGAAATCTGTTGAATGTTGATCTTGTAGCAGTGTTTAAAATTACTTTACCCCGAGACAGATAACTTTCCGTTGGGTAACAATTGGTAAAAATTAAAACTTGCATTCCCAGTGGTCTGATAATATTTTTGTCATTGGTGCTAGATGTCTAATATATATATATATCTTGTCCATCCTATGTCAATGTCATAAAGTTTAGTGCAGAAATAATTGTTAACTATTTTTTTTTCAGTGGTGATTATGGCAATGCCCTGATTCACTATGAGAAAGGTGTCACACGAGCTGAAAATGTAAGTACATGTTTAAATGGAAATGTAGTGCTTTGTTTTGATCTATGTGTTTTATGATGTAACAAAGTTGTTCACAATAAACCCACTGTATCAGTAATCTATAAGTGCAATCAATATATCACTGTCAGCTATCGATGGTAAATTTGATTCATTTATTGAAAATGCACTGTCCATCCATCATCTTGAAACTGTCCAGCATTTAAACATGAATATGATAAATATGATATGATCCTAGTCACCAACTTGTGGTTACCAACAATACCTTGTACTTGTACATGTTGATAAGGTAACAGAGATGTGTGTATGATGAAAATATCATATTTCAATAATCCAGCATACATTAAAAACAAACAGTGTTTGGCTTATTTATGCTCCTAATCGGATTGACCTTCTAATAAGAGCTAATATGGTACACATTATATTTGGATGATTTTATAGTAAGTGTAATGTAAAGAGAGAAGATACACACAGCAAACAAAGCATGATGATTTAATATATATGTAATCCTACTTTCCCCAGCAACATGAACATGATGAAGCATGCGCTGCTGGTATTGCTAGAATGGCAATTAGAATGGGTGACATCAGACGTGGTGTTAACATGGCACTAAAGATGCCAAACCGAATGCTAAAGAAAGAGTGTGCTGCCATCTTAGAAAACATGAAGCAGTACTCAGAATCTGCCATGCTGTATGAGAAGGGAGGATATTATGATAAAGCTGCTGCAGTCTACATAAGAAGCAAAAACTGGTATGTGTATTAAATCTGAAAATCTTTTCACAGTTTCTACTATTTTGTGAGCAGTTAGCTCACTAAATACAGCAATACCTAGTTATACAGTAAGGGCTATATATCTGAAAAAGTACATACCCAATTAATGGGATTTTAATGAGGGATCTATGATGATTAACTTTCTGATTCTTGAAACACTAACTTTTGTTTAAAATAGTAAATTTGATGGTTGATGTAATGTTTCTTCTAGGGTGTAAAATTATAACTATACCGCTGTAATGTATTGGCAGCACATTAATTCTAATTCTGAATTTCTGTATATATTGTATTCTTTCAGGACCAAAGTTGGAGAGTTATTACCTCAGGTGTCTTCTCCTAAGATACATGCACAGTATGCTAAAGCTAAAGAAGCTGATGGTAGATACAAAGAAGCAGCATTGGCCTATGAAAATGCTAAAGAGTTTGACAATGTTATAAGGTGAGTTTTCTTTTAGCATTTCTGATGTTTCTCTCACACATTGACAACCTTTTGTAGCAAATAATTTGACATGGGAAATGATAGTAGTGAATGTAGGTAATGAAATGAATCCCAGGAATGCCAATAATATATTTAATACTTTGTTCAAAGGGAGACATTGTGTTTGTTAACATATTGTTTTATTAGCTCCGCTGTCGACTTTGTCGAGCGGAGCTTATCATATGAGTGATTGTCCGTCGTCGTCGTCCGTGTCAATGTTTTACTTTTTCGACTTCTTCTTGAAAACTACAAGCCTGAATGCTTTGATACTTGGTGTATATGTACCTTGGGTAGACCTCTCTTAGGTTTGTTCATTTCATGTTGATATCTTCAATTCTCTAATTTTGGTGAATATTTTTGTCATTTTTGGTAAAAAGTGATATTTTCGACTTCTTGTTAAAAACCGCAAGTGTAAATGCTTTGATATTACATATATAGGTACTACATGTGGATCTCTCTCAGATTTGTTCATTTTGTAATGATATCTTTAATTCTCTAATTTTGGTGAATATTTTTGTCATTTTTGGTAAAAAGTGATATTTTCGACTTCTTGTTAAAAACCAATAGTTCAATTGCTTTGATACTACATATATAGATACTACATGTAGACCTTTCTCAGATTTGTTCATTTTGTGATGATATATTCAGTTCTCTAATTTTGGTGAATATTTTTGTCATTTTTGGTAAAAAGTGATATTTTCGACTTCTTGTTAAAAACTGTAAGTCCGATTGCTTTGATACTATTCATATTGTTCATTTTCTAATGATGTCTTTAGTTCTTTATTTGAAATGTGCATTGCTAACAGCGGAGCTATCTCAGCCGATAGGCTGCTTGTTCTGTATATGTAGTCCTTACCCCTTTTCACTATATGCTTGCACAATATATTTTGTTTTTAAATTTGTATCTTTTTATTTCAGAATCCAGCTTGATTATCTAAACAATCCAGAAGAGGCTGTTAAAATTGTGAGAGAGACCCAGTCAATTGAAGGAGCTAAAATGGTTGCCAGGTAAGGGTGATTTATTGACTGATTTCAGATTATGTGGGCACATCAGCATAACATAGGAAGCTGTATATTGTGGTTTTCATACATACCTCATGTATCAGTCTCATGCACCCATTTCAGAATCATGCATGTTCAGGATCAGATTCATTTTAACTGGCAATTAATCTGTACAAACTATATTGTGTTCACCATCTCTTATTTTAATGCAATAATGTTAGAAAGATACTTTATGATACACTGCATGGAACTCACTGAGTGCTAATCTCTCAATAGCAAATATTAGATATTTAGTTTACAGTCATAACACAGCATGTGTAAAGACTGATTGATCTTATAAATTGACCATTTCCCATTCACTGTGAGATCCTGTATTATACACAAAATCAAACATGAGAAAAGGACAAACAACAGTCATCGCATTGTTGTGATGTCAAAACAGCTTTTCGGGTATTTCCATGGTTAATGTGCCATACACATTTGATGAGTACATTGTATCTCAGCACCGTATTTTCTTCTGAGAGATTAGCATTTCGACATTGAACTATGAAAAAAAGAAATTCCAGTTTAAAATCAAATAATTCGATTTTCGTGGTAGGTGCTCGGTCTTCACCTTTCATGCATTACACGAGATCACGCAGTGAACTGAAAATCACCTAATCTACCTGTTTAGAAATAGTAACATGTTTTTGAAATAAACCTGATGAATTATCATGCTTATTTGTTTATTTATTTGTTGCATTACATTTTTGCAGATTTTTCCAGAAACTGAATGACTTCAGTTCTGCTATTCAGTTCTTAGTAATGTCCAAATGTAATGATGAGGCATTCCAAATGGCACAGCAACATGGACAAATGGAAGTTTATGCAGAGATTATTGGTGAGGATGAATCCCTATACTTTGTGATAAATAGTAGTAGGACTTGAATTTCACTACAACATCAAAATCATTTGCCCAGGGAGTTTGCCATGGTGTCCTTCTATCTTCCATATATTGTATGGTGTATATCTATACAATCAAAAGTAATTTTATCAGATATAGCCTTGAAAATGAATGCCCTCCCTACTGCAAAATTCAAGCCCTGTACCTAGTACTCTCTAGTAGATAGTGATGTTTCTTATGTGTTGAGGTGCATAAATAGCTCACATATTTCAAGCATTCATCTTATTAATATTTATTTATGTAAATTTTCCAGGGCCAGACGCAACCTCTGAGGATTATCAGAGTATAGCTTTATATTTTGAAAATCAAAAGAACCATTTCTTAGCTGGTAAATTCTTTCTGTTGTGTTGCCAATATCCGAAAGCTTTGAAGCACTTCCTGAAATGTCCTGTGACCAATGATGACAGCCAGGCTATTGAAATGGCCATTGAAACTGTAAGTTACCAACAATTAATTGTTCTACTTCTCTCAATGATTGTGTTGTTTGGGGCATGTAACTGGGGTGCTGTAATTTGTTATTTTTGAGGGTTTATAACACATTAAACACCAGATTTATATACTGCCCATAATGTATGCAGGAAAACCTTCAAGGTATATGTATGGGTGTTGCAATCAACAGTATGAGTATTCAGTATGAATAGTGCTAGCTCAAAATGTTCCTTATTCTGGTACTGGAAAAGCACTTGTTATAGATAGTCATATTTATAATGTTACAACTCCAATCAATGATCTACTCTCTGGTACTGGAAAAATTAAGCCTGCCCTCTACAGGCGGTTATGGATACCCACTCTGGCCTTAGAGGGCGCTATACAGTACCCAGGAAATGTTCTTTAATTTATTGAAATAAATAATAATAATTATTTGCCCCAGAATAAAATTTACTTAAAATTTAAACTTGTAGTACAGTAGTATGGTCCTTACTGCCACAGTACTAATTGTCTACTACTTAATGTCAATGTAGAACTGTAGACAATAATATTGTTTCAAATTGGAGCATGAGGTACATTGTATGGTTACCATGAGAATAATATAGTAATAATTAGCACTAGTGTTTTTAGTCTAAAACTAGTTTAAAGGATGACATCATAAATGCTTGTATGTTGTGTAATGTATGATATAATATTCCCTTACATTATATTGGACCCACATCAATGCCCTCCAGCTCATCTGTGTTCTTGATGTTCAAAGATAGTTCATCTTAAAGATTACTATGATATCAGTTATGCATTAGATTACAGTTGCTGTCATCCGTGTGTTTCATTTGTAGGTTGGTGAAGCCAATGATGATCAGTTGACTCATCAGTTGATAGACTATCTTATGGGAGAGGTTGATAACATGCCTAAAGATGCCAAGTATCTATTCAGATTATACATGGCTCTGAAACAATATCGAGAAGCAGCTAGAACAGCTATTATCATTGCAAGAGAAGAACAGAATGCTGGTAAGTTTATTTACACTGGTATGTAAGAAAGTATTATCTGTGTCATTGAATTTCGTTCATGGTGTGCACAGTGGGTATTCTGAATCCTTTTTGAAAATACATATGCAAATCTGATAGATGAGTAGATTTGAGGTTCTTGATTCTCATGTACAAAACATGATTTTTGTTTTTTTTCTAAATCTCATGTATCTATTGATCTGACATTCTTGTATTAAGTTTGAATTTGTTTGAATACACATGTAATTGTTTTATAGAATCCAAATTACTCCTGCAGATCTGCTGTTTTTGACATATCGTTTAGCTATGGCATATAATTTAAATCTGTTTATTTTTCAGGTAACTATAGGAACGCTCATGATGTATTATTTAGTATGTATACTGAACTGAAAGCACATAAAATAAAGATACCAGCCGAGATGGCCAATAATTTGATGATCCTACATAGTTATATCTTAGTAAAGGTAAATATTTCCTAATTTCATTTTAATTTGTAAAGTGTAATTATGCACAGAACAAACGTATAATATTATGTTAATAAAATCACCAGTTAATGGCAAATATCTTTTCATATCATATCATATCTTTTTGAAATAAGCTTTCACCGTTCAATGAAAAGTCGCGAAGTTCACTGTTCCATATTATGTGAATGTTACCCACCATGGTCGTATGATAAATGATGTTTATTGTTCTCTGCTGTAGATACATGTGAAGAGAGGTGATCATTTGAAAGGTGCAAGAATGCTGATCAGAGTTGCAAATAATATTAGTAAATTTCCATCACGTAAGTAAAGTGTTTAGTGATCCAAAGCTGGTCTAGTGTTGTATGTATGCTGAGTTGAAAGTGTCTTCTCACCAAAAAAATTGAAATAATTGTTATTAATAATGTAATACTATATACATCTGTAACTATCACCATAAGTTACAATGTGTCGTAACTTGGGAGTTCCAATTATGGTTTTCCCAAGATGGTGGATGCTTTTGAAAATGAAGTTCATAACAAGAAAGTTCTAATAATTTTTACCATTTTTCCCAGTTTTGGGCTTCCTACATCAAGCAATTGGTTTGAACAAATTTATATAATATGGTAATTTTATTATAAGGATATTGCAAAGTATGCACTCAGACAGTACATGGTTGCATCGACTTGCACGCCTTGGTCGATACTCTCATTGTATTGTCTTTGTGCATACTTAACGGCATCCTCTCAAATTCCACATAGTATAGACATTTAATTAAAGAATTGATTGCATAATTCAAAGCGACAAGTGTAGGCAGTTCCACTTATTCACATTTTGCATGAGTTTGTGTGCGCAGTGACTGGTTGGCTTGTATCATCATTTGTACCTGAAGATGAAATGACAATGTCATTTGCTGCTGCTGTTATTAAATATACATGTATGTGTTTCTGTTAATGAAGCAACTTATGGGAATTGTTAACGCAGCAGGTCATGAGCCTGTGCTGATCAGGGGGAGACACATTTGTTATCATACACTTGCATGCTGGTTGACAAAAATGTAAACATATGACGTCTTGGTGCGATTGCTAATACAGGGCTTGACCTACATTATAAGGAAGGTAGTCGATTTCCAAGGCAAAGGTTTCTAAAGATGATAGGATAGGTATTTGATACATGTTTCTATATATTGCAGATATTGTACCTATACTGACATCCACTGTCATTGAGTGTCATAGATCAGGATTACGTAACTCTTCATTCAGTTATGCTGCTATGTTAATGAGGCCAGAATATAGGAATAAAATTGATTTGAAGTATAAGAAAAAAATTGAAGCTATTGTCAGGTAAATATGTCTAATTTGCATTATTCTCTAATTTCTATTTCTTATTATTACAGATTAGTAGCTTTACAAATTTAGGTGAATTCAGTGTTTTCCATTGTTGGTTGTTCCTATGAATT